TTCGAATCTGTACCAAACTGTCAGACAGTGCTAATATCAACAACCCAAATAGTGTGGTGAAAACTTATACGAATAAGATGTTTATATTTCACTGTAACCATTTATTGAATTATATATTATCACTATTAAGTTAATGTTATTTTTATTTCAATAGCATTTTGGCGCCGATTTATTTTGACATTTATCCAAACATATGGCTTCTAATGCGAGTTCTAAACGGGATAGTGGAAATAAGCTGGATTGGTTGATATACAAAGATACATCACTACATACAGATATAAACAAAAGAAAAAAGGAACTGAATTCTGGATTTTTTGAGTAAATGAAATACAACAGGACACTTCAAAACAGAGTGGAATATCTTTCTTCTGTAAGAATATTATTTATTGCCTAACAAGTTAAAGTAGAAAATTTCTATTTCGTGTATTTTTCGATTTAGGATTTTAAAATTTGCAGCACATCTTTTAGAAAAAAAAATACTTAGTTACTTTATCAAAACAATAAATCTAGGGCACATCAATCACGCGCACACAGTTAACGGAGCTTCAAAAACATGCGTGAAACTTCCACTCAAGTTTCGTGAATTAACGCAAACGCACGCAAGGTAAATTTATACTCAGTAAAGGCTGATTATATTTCACTAGGCGAAGAAAAAATAAAGAAGGATTTACTGAAGCATGACAAACAATTACTGTGTCGTGAGGTGTTAAGTATCACATGAGGATATAACACGCGATGAAAAAAGCATAACCTGAAATCATTATATGAGATTAAATAGCCACAGCTGTCTTAACAGCTTGTTGGTTTAACTCTTGGCTGAACACGACACCAACCGGCCACTTGCTACACACATATAAATACACTACAGATATACACGGAGTAACATGTTTTATGAATAGATGTTTTCAGTAATTTATTGAGAAAATGAGCGAGAATAAGCTATTTTTCTGCAACAAAACGCTTTATGCTTCTTTACACACATTTAATGAGACGTTTTGACATATTACGTACAGAAAAAAATAATATCGATACATTAATGTGCTGTAACCAATAAAATAACATACAGTACAACTACACATATTGTATGGTGCATTAATACACATACATAATGTACATGTGTAGAACCATCATTTACTTCCAGTTCTGTTGCAAAAAGTCAGCCCAATAGAATGCCACCAAATCATGTGTATAGCTTTAGGTACTAATATTGTATCATACGACACTGCGTAGGTTTGGTATCTAAAGTTCAAAAACACCAGCGGCTGAGCGGAAAGTCACTGAACACTAGTAGTTCAGTCCCGGGTTCGACTCCTGGTGAACGAACGCATTGGCTTCATATGCGTTTTCCTGATTTTACCCATGTGTAACGTGTATACAAGACAGTTTCCATTAAAACGTTTTCCACGAAGGAATCCCTCTCTTTAGGCAGACAGCCCTCGAGTGCTTTGCCATAATTGAATAAAGCAAACTTACAACAATTCAAGCGATATTTAATCTTCATTTTCTAAACGCTCTACCTAGACTAAGCCTTCATAACATTGCAGGTTTTACTACATATTAGCATTAATTTAAGAGTATTTCGTTGCAATTTAAAGTTACATTCTCGATCTCGGAGAGCCCAAATATTTCTTTTAGTGTAAATTAAGAGTAATTGCTTCTTCCTTTCAAACTATTTCAGGTTACGAAAGATTTCAAAGGAAAATTTTGTCGTTGCAAAGCACCAAAACCAGTACCTGGAAAAAATAAAAAAAATGGATTTCTTTTCTTTCATTAAGAAGTTACACTACCCCATTTTGTATCAGAGCATAGTATCTCTCTAATATAAATTCTTGCTTTACATTCACCTTGATGGCACTTTTTCTTCATTGACCCCCTTACATTTTTATGCGTAATATACATCATATAATATCATAAAAATACAAATAACGTTTTGAGAAAAATGGGTTTATTCGAATTATATTTTGTATTATGATTTTTCTTTCTTGTATGAAGTAAAGGAAGTATTGCAATCGCGAAAGATTTCGGTTATCATATTTCAACAGAAATATCCATTTGACCGTTCCCGAATCCATTTGGACGATTTTTTTTACGTAACGTCTGCACGTACGAACAGAATAAAGGACTCCCTTTTACAAAATGGATTGTAAAATTAATTTTAAATGAATTCAAAAGGAATTTTTTTTTGCCATGACGTCTGTACGCAGGTATGTATGTATCTAGGATAACTCAAAAACGATTAGCTGTAGAACTTTGGAATTTTGTATATAGAACATGGGATATATATTGCACCTTAAGTTCAAAAATATAAATTTTGTATATGGAACATACATATATATGCATACCTATACCTAACCGGCTTAGAAGTCGTTACTCGACATTTATTTCGCAATTGCGGGACGTAGTCATATACTTCCAGATACAGAAATGTTTTAAATGGCAAAAATATTCATATTTGGACAATGTCAAATTTAAAAAAAAAAAAAAAAAAAAATTCGACAGATATCGAAATCTTAACATTTAATGCGATCTCCCGGTTCCTATATTATATTTGGGAAAGGTTTATATCCGTTATGACAAAATAAAATTGGAAGAAGTTTGACTCCCGTAAAAGAAAAATTGACGGGATATTTAATTTCAAACTTGCTTTGAGGAATCGGTTAATTAAGTTACAATAGGTCGAGAAAATAAACGAAGAGCAGCAAAAAACGTGTATAATTTAACAGGCAGTAACAAGGACGTCATGTGGTCTCTGCATCAAATTTTTAATTTTACAAATGTAATCAGATTTCCAATTACAAAATGACAGATTCTAGTTGGACTAAAATTCCATTTCATTAATGAATTTTAAATTCCAAAACTTAACAGCAGCCATGTATTTTGAAAAAGACCTGTGCTTGAACATCCTTTCTCAATACAATCAAGATCAGACAGATCACAGTTCAGCAATTCTATGAACCATATTGGGCCCATTAAAAATTTTTGTGTTTTAAACGAGAACATTAAAATCGTCTTTTAAATTTTGTAAGCAGCTTGTACATAAAACTTCATCTACTGAGGAAGTTTCGCGTTTTTCATATATATTTTGGAATTTCCTTGTGTTCTCGCATGTTAACTTTTTATACTGCACTTTTTGCATAAAAGAACTATATATTTAAAAAGTATTGTCTATTTTAAAAATATATTTAATAATTTTTTGTGTACTTTTTTCTTATATTTATTTTATATGATTTATTCCTTACTCTACACGATATATCTTTATATCATAAACAATTAATTATCAATTTTACAATATAAGTAATTTTTAATATAAAAATTATATATTTAAAAATATTAAATAATTTTATGTGTAGTTCTTTTTATATTTATTTTAAATTATATCTTCCTTACTATATACATGATATATCTATATATCAATAAACAATTAATTATAAGTTTTACAAAATAAGTAATATATATATATATCTATTTGTATCACTGGGATCATGCAACCTGCTACGTTTCACTTTCTGTGTGGGTGGGTGGGGGAGAAATTTAGGGTCAAAATACATTATTTTCCCTTTCGGCTAATCTTCCACCGGTTGCAAAGACTCCAAACCTGCATGTTCGGCTACTGAACCCTTGGTCACCATTGAACCCCTTTAAAATTTCATCGACTCTCAGGGTTCAGTATCGGTCTCGTTATTAACCTTTTCTATAGTAAAAGGTTTCGCAATCACGGCTTCACGAGATACAGGTAGGGGTTCCACGAGATAATAATAAGAAATTATGATTAAAAACTTATTTTTATAAACCCAAGCTGTGGAAAAATTAAATGTTCTTTTTAAGCTAGTTCTGGAACCCAGCTTACGTTAAGTGCTTCACAAAAAGTAGGATAATTTCATGAGGGTTTAATGTGTCGCTTGTTTTCGTTTTTCATGAATAGGTCAGTTTAGTTCTTAACTGACGTTTTTGGTAAGGTTAAAAGCTTTTTTGGACATTTTCAGTTTTAAATAAGCAAAATATTACTTTGGCATAATTTAGAGCTCATCATTATTTTCTTGGGCTGAAAACACTAAATGTAACGAATTCTGGATAATTAAAAAATTTGGAAATTAAAATAGCAAAATTTAAATCTTACTTCATTTATATTATTTAAGTGCATGTCACATGACAATGAAAGACTTGATTTGACAAGAGAAGTGCTTAAAATCCCAATACTTGTAAATTTTTAAAAAACGCAAAATAACATTTGCATTTACTACTGGATTTTGCGTATAACAGTTTTCAGATCACAATTAGTTATAAGTATTGTATTTGTGCAGATTCCGTGGTATCATAAAATTCTTCAATTATTTCAGAGGAAAAGGATAAGAAAAATTGTTGCAGTTTGCAAAAAATTGGAGAAAATTTTTCATTGTAAATTTTACAGTTTTCAATCTTGTTTTTACTTCCTTTTTTTTTTTTTTTTCCATTTCATAATTATATCAGATAAAAACATCATTAAGAACAATTGTGCCTCTCAAAAATCAGAAGTTTCTGTTCTGTGAACGGCACTTTGGTGAACATTACAATGACAGTTTCTGTAACTTTTTCTAATTTATAAAGAACGTTGCTGGATATGTAATTTTTCTCTAGGACAGTAATTTCTACAAGTGCAAATCACAATTAGAAACTTTTCAGAGTTAATTACTTTCTTTCAATCACAAAAGCTTTATAAAAGTGCAAGGGGTAGAACAATTATGATCTATTAAAAACTGCATCATTCTGTCCCTCCTTCTCAAACCACAAATCTAGGATCTATATATTTCACCTCATTAGGAAATGTCGCAACGAATAATTCTTCTTCGCAACTCTCCTTCACCTAGTGGGACTGCCATACCCATTTCTAAAAACATAAAAAACTTATAACTGCAATGAAGTCTTCCGTTTTCTAATTTAGTCTTAAGTGGACCTCTGGAAAGTACTACCGCATGCCATCGACCACTTCACAACACTAAGAATAAACAGAGTGGCATACTTACCAGCGTTTGGCGCCTTTGCTTTGAACGTTGGTCCTACAGGTGTTCCGGGAAAAACCATGCTGCACATTTTGGAAAATATCCGAATCTTTCACAACATGCAGCAAATCAAAGAGAATAATCCTTATTTTGGAATCCTTATTTTCAAAAACTTTGCCTTTTGAATCAATAGTTACTGAATTTGTGTATCCAATGATCTGCTACAGAATTATCCAAACAAAAGTCTTCTTCAAATGATCTAAAGAAAAATAATTAATTATCCCTACCAGAACGTTTCTGGATAAGTTATCCTTAAGGAAGTTGTATCTAAAAATAAACCACGTTGTGCCCTCTGACGCAAACGTCCTTCACATGAATTTCTCCAAATATTAAAAATTCTTCCCTATTTTTGAAAAATTTTTCCAGCTTTCAGGAAAACATCATCTGTTAAAAAAAAAACACCCCTAATATTTTTCAGTTTTCGAAAGTCATAAAGGCCGAAAAACAAAATGCGCTACAAATAATAATGCTTCTTTCAGAGGCAAAACAGATAAATTCGTACGATCCGCGGTCTAATCATCGCAACTAAAACAAAGTTCGAAATTAGGGTGTGCCCGAAGAGTCCTCTAGATGAAGATAACAGCCACATTTGGCTGTTATTCGTTATTGGCGACAATTTTCAACACACACGGGACGCATATTTTTTTGAATGAAATGGCGCGGAAGGATGATACATTTGAATGACGCTTAAGACCTGTAATTCACAAAAAGAATAAAGAAATGGATATTATTTTAAGCAACTGAGTAACCAGCTATCTTTAAATAGTCACAGTTTCGAAATGTATCGTAATACATCAGGAAGCATGCGAATAAATATTTTTAGTCATTCTCTTTCTAGTTTCAAGACACAATTTAGTACTTTAAACTACCATATAAATATCATAACGAAAGGGAAAAGAATTGTTATAAAAATATTTACTTTTTATTCTGTTTAAACATTTTATTCTTCCTAATATCAAATAAGAATACTTTCTTTTTAATTATTCAAATAAAAAACTAATACGCACAATTTCTGCAGAGCTATCCTTCCTGAATTCTGGACTAACAAGTAATGTATCAGTGTAATTTCAAGATTAACTAATTATTTACTTAAATCCTGGAAAACACTCGGTACGAAAGAAAAACCTCTATGATAGATTTTTTAAGGGAAAATGACTCATATTTACATTAAGCATACTTACACTGGACGGGAAAGAAAGAGAAAGAGAAATAACTTCATCCAACTAGGCTGCTGAGCCATCGTGTATTAAATCAAAGGCAAATTATCAACATTCGGCCACTAAAAGTTTCACTGATTCACTGGTTCGGTTTGGTGTGTATCGCAAAACACCCCAAGGTATCTTTCTAAAGGGAAGGAAGTCTTCGTGGAAAATTTATTAAAGGAACATGGCTTGTAACCGCGTTACACATTTTACTAACTAGGAAATATGAACACTTTTATACAAGTCTTATGCTTTAAACTACGTAGGCCTACTTTACTTCCTCCTTTACAAGATATAACAAAGCAAGATACAGTGTACTCTCGATTATCAGGGTGCGGATTATCCTTGCGTGGAGGCGCCTATGCATGTACATGCAATCTGTGCGCGAGAGTGAGTAAAAAAACACACCAAGCTAGCTCTAAAAACCGATGAATTAAGTTTAGTTTTAACGATTACCTGGATTACTCGATTACCAAGCGAAGCAAATAGACAGTTGCATTAGTCTCGAGACAGTAATTAGTCCGAGACAGACCTTCTGATGAAACTTTATTAGGTTTCGAGCAAAGATGGGGCCGAATCCACTGATAAAATACCCTTCGAAAAATGCGCAGTGAAATTCGACAATTATTTAGACGTTCTCAAAAACAAGATAGAATAATTAATTTTTTAAAGAAATAAACACAAACAATATGCGTGCAACAGGTTGGATCATCCGTGTTTTTCAATTATCCATGATTTGCTTCCCTGATATTAACCTGGATAATCGACAATACGCTGTAAAGCTAAATATACAATATTTAACAAAACGTGTATTCGAGAAATCGTTTGAAAAATATCGTATGCACTTCATAGAACTTTTTCCGTTTTTCGATATCCCAGTTCCTTTTGACTTTTTATAAATGAAAACCGCATGTTTGACTTAGTACTTAATCTTTTGTAAATTTATAGGTAAACCTAATTTTTTTCCCATTTTATGTATTTTTAAGAGCTTTTAAAAATTCCAATAGCGTAAAAAATAATAATAAAATATTATGAAACGACAGTGCGACGATTTCTCGTTAGCGCTATACCTTTTACGAACTGGCAAACAATAACATGTAAATTTAAGTTATTCGTTCTAGAACTCTAATTATTTGTCGTTCTTCTCTTTTTCAATGATTCCAATTTATTGAACTTTTTCTTAGACAAATTAAGCTTGTTGTTCATTCACTTACAAAATTTTATTATTTTTTAGTAAATTTAAGTAATACAAAAGGATTAATATAAGACAATTAAACTGTTGGCCATTAAAATTAAAATACCATGAAGAAATACAAATACCGAAAAGATGTTTATTGCACGTAAACAGTGTGGCATGAAGACGAAATGATTAAATTTGTAAGCATTTTGGAGGTTTACAGGGGTGCGAAATTAGTAGAAACTGCTGCCACCCCTGGCAGGTAAAACGACCCTTACTACATTAGGCATGGTGTCAATCTGAGCTTGGATAACAGAATCGGGCAACTCATTGCATGCTGCTTCAAATCTATGCCACACTTTATCAATCATATTAGTTGAAGAAGGGTGGCGGGTCAGTCTCTCAGCAACCCATGACCAAATGTTTTCAATGGGAGACAGATCTGAGGACCGTGCACGCCAGGGTAGCAATCGAATAACTTGCGTGTCGAGGAAGTTCAGAACACGACGTGCAACATGAGGTCTTACATTATCTTGCTGGAACGTGGCGTTTGGGAGGCTCGAAGATACGGCACATCCACTGGACGTAAGATACCAGAAATGTACCCATCTATGTTCAAATTACCGTCGATCCGAACTAGAGATGTGCGTTTCTTGTACCCAATGGCTGCCCAAACCATCACACCGGGTGCAGGGTCCCTATGCAAATACTGAATGCAAGCAGGCGACGTCCGGTCTCCTCGGACATTCCAGACACGTATACGGCCATCAGAACACTGCACGCAGAACCGGGACTCGTCTGAAAAGACGACATTATGCCCCTCCTGTATACAGCTTTGTCGTTTGGCGCACCAGAATCGCCGTCTGCCTCTATCCTGCATTGTCAAGGGAAGCCGAAGTAATGGTCGCCGTGCTGATAGTCCATGCATCACGCATTACCGCCCAGCCGAATTAGAAGTGTGCATGTCGTCTACCCAATGGCTGCTCAATCAATCACACAAGGTGCAGGGCCCCTATGCCGATATCGAATGCCAGCATGCAACATGCAGTCTCCTAGGAGCCTCCAGACATGTATACAGCCATCAGATTACTGCACGTAGAACCGGTACTCGTTTGAAAAGGCAACATTGTGCCACTTCTGTACCCAGCTTTGTCGTTTGGTGCACCAGAGTCGCCGTCCCTCTCTATGCTGGACTGTCAAGGGAAACCGAAGTAATGGTCACCCTGCTGATAATCCACGCTGCTGCTAACGTCGACTCACCTTACGAGTTGATACTGGGCGTGCTGCAAACACGCCCATCTCCTGACTATTGGTCCGTGATGTGGTCGTACGAGTTGCAGGGCTGATCTGAAAATATGTCTGTCCTCTCTGGCGTTAGTATTGGGAGGGCGTTGAGATACTGCATGCCGTTCAGTATGACCTCAGGAATCCATTGATTCCATATTCGCATGACAATGATTGGATGTCGACCAATGCGACCGACGATATCACGGAACGATAATCTACACTTTCGATAAGCAACGATCTTGCCTCTATTGAATTTCGAAACTTGTTGGTAAGCTTTTCCTCCTCTTATTTGACGCATAACACTATATTCTCAGCAAACTCTAACCTTACAAAGCACTTTCCGAATGAGAAATCCACTACACAACGTTTCTTTTATGCAGTGATTCAGATGTCGTTTTTCCCTCTTGCGTCGTCTAAATGCGCTGAAATACTAATTATTTGAGTATCCAAACTTCTTCTTCCTATCATGTGATTTTAGCCATCCAATCAGTATAATGGTTAGGGAAGGTAAAACCGCTGAGTTGGCTTCCGACCCAGGTATAGATATATCCATGCAGAATTGGTTATCAACTCGGCGGGAAGTGGTTAGGGAAGCCTGACTGCGATACCGAAGGGCCCGAATTCAAATCCCGGAAAAGGTATGGTTGTAACTGTTCGTCTCTTCATAGGAGGCGATCTGCTTCCTGGTGTTGTAATTTTAACGGCCAGCAATGTACATATTTTCGGAAGCTATTAAATAAATTTTGTTAAATGTGTGCGGACTTTGTTTGTTCAAATGCCGCAAAGGAAAAGCGGTCTTTCCCCCAAAATGCACGGAAATGCCTTTGTGGAGGTCTTCTTGATTGATCTAATCCTCCTTACTGCTGGGCTCAGTTTTCAAGAAATATCAACGGAGAAACAGTTATTGTTTATAGGCTTACTGAAACACAAGTTTTCTCTCCTTCTTAAACAAAAAATTTCTAGAAAATTACAAAAATTATATTATTAAAATTACAAAAATTATTAAATATCATGACATAATTTCATTAATTAATCACGACTGAGTATTTCTAATTTGAATATAATAAATGTCTATATAACTTTTACTGTTTCGAAATGATAAAATACGAAATTGATATACATAGGTGCTTTGAAAACACTTTTTGAAATAAGAACAGAACGTCTCAGGCTCGTTATAGATAGATAAAACAGAATAAACTGTTAGTGAGAACAAAATACACATACGCAAAATTACTGCAACCAGAAAATGACAGATGAAGATAATATTCTATTGTTTTTCTTCCGTAATAGATTGCCTTTCTATCTAAAGAATTCGGGTTGGATAAATGCTGACAGATATCTAATTAACGCTAGCAGACAGAGACATTTCATTTTGTTGTCTACATAAATAAATAAAATAGTTCGAACGAGAACTAAATTTATCCGTAACGTAGATATTCGAAGTGAGAAGACACTAAATAAAAATGAGCCTGCCATTAAAATTAGAACATAATTTAAATAATGATCAAAACGTGTGACAGTTTTGAAATGAAAATTTTTTGCATTATAAAGAATATAATGTATTGATTCATAAAAAGATGGCCGTAATTTCTTCATAGCAAAATTAAGCACGTAACGAATTCTTGATGATCTAAATTTCTAATGCTATTTATAGTGACGCGCCCATGTTGGAATCTATTCAGGTGCTAATGCTCGTTAATTAAACTTAAAAATTCATGCTCTTACCATGAATTTTTAAGTTTGATTCATAACAACAGTTCGTACTTTCTTCAAAACAAAATTAAGGAAGAAACCAATTTTTAATAATCTAAATTTCTGAGGATATTTATAGCGACGCGTCTATATTGGAATCTATTGGGATGCT